CTTCTGTGAATGTATGGGAAAATATAAGATTACAACCATATCAACAGGAAAGAAAGGGAGACATATATTTTTCTTGCACTAACCTGAAAATTCACATTGTACTTTGCAGGTGCTACTTAGTATATCAAGACAAATTTCAAAATACCTAAACCATTGTAATATTATATTTGTTTTCCCCACCTAGATGGATTTGAGCAATTCTCCATTAACACATTTATTGTAAATTAACTCCAGCTGTATCCAACTGGAATAAAAAAATGGATAGAAGCACAAATGCAACCTTTTAACTCACCTTAAGTTCATTGGTTTCAGACAGCTTGGATTTGAGGCCAGTATTCATTTCCCTTGCCAGATCAAGCTGCTTCTGTAACCTCTCTATCATCTTATGCAACTTTCTGACAGTGAGATTGGCCTCATCCCTCTCCATAGCTAATGCAGTCCTTACTTGTTTCTCTTCTTCCAGCTGCATTATTTTCTGCCGCAGGAGGTTCATGTGCAGCTCTCTGCTTTCAAGTTTTTCCTTCTGAGTCTTCAACTAGTTTTCCAAACACAAGAAATGAATTTACATATACACTGCACCCTATTTGAACATAAATACTTGTGCATCATTCATAACATATAAGATTGTCTAAATTATAAGACACTAGTCAAATGTAAGAGGTAAGAGAGATTCATTAAGGAGACCGTGGTTTCAGTGGTGGTAGATTAAGATATTTCCATCTTTAATCAGTTAATTAAGGCTAGTGTGCAAGAAGGAGAATCTACATACAGAAATAAGAAAGCTTTCATCCACTGCTCCAATATAAGGTCCAGCAGCTTAGTTTTGTAATTTTAGTGCTCAGGGAACTACCTATTTTCAGTTTACTTGAGCTGAGCTGCCAGGCTTTACTCTGGGACATCTGAGGAGTATTAACATACATACTATATTCCCCCCTAGAGAGGCAGCTGCTTCCAGAAAAAAATAGATTGTTGCTTTAAACCTTAAATAGACTTATTTCTTAGCTCTACACCATTCTGATAAATCTAAAACCAGATTTTATGCTGTCATAACAGGATAACAGAGAGGCATTTGACCAAATCTAAATAGATTTGCTCCTAAAGGAGCACAGTTCTTGTTGGAAACGTTGAAATTCTTGGTGAAGTACAACCAACGTCCTACTAGTTTCTAGAGAAGTTTGTATAAGATGCCCTGCTTCCCAGCAGATCCTTTTAGATTTAAATATCTATGGCAGTTATTTACAGAAGTATATTATAAATGTTTATTAAAAGTAGACATATATACTCATATAAACATGCATAAATTCATGCATTTATTTAAGAAGTTGTGAAAAGTATCACATATTTAACCAACTGGTGGTTTTAGTTGTTTTAATACGCAGCCTGTTTGCAGTTTGTGAATGTTTACTATCTTCTTTTTATGTAATGAACATCTTCAACATTTCTTGTACATATATGAGCTCCAATCTACTGCCTCTAGCAAGGCACTATAGAAATGCAACCATAACAATGTTTACCTTTGAAACAAACAGTAACAGTATGTCTTTTTTGCCTACCTTCCTTCTTAGGCTATATGCCATAGTTTTGTTTTCAATCACTGCATCACCTTCCAGCTTCACTAACTGCTCTACTCGAGATAGAATTGCATCCATATTCATATCAAATCCAACCTCTGCTGCTAGGCTATCCAGCTTCATCTTCTCATTAAGTTGCTCCAGAAATTTCAGATACTAAGATAAGGTATGGAAAAGAAGAAGAAAATAATAACAAAACCTCATTAGAAGTCCTGAAGTACAATTTGAAAGCAATTCCCCTTACACCAGCAAACAACTCTACATAGCCAAGCCCACTATCCACAAGAAATAATGTACTGAAATGGTATGTTTATAGTACACACTCCTGACAATTGCTAATTCTCCATTTGTCCTTTTTTAGTCAACATTTATTTTGTTCATAAATCCCTGGGCCTACTGTATCTTCTCTGCAAGATCAGATTGTGTTTTGCTCCTCTGCAGTAATAAAAGCACTAGGTATGTGTGTCTGCTTCTGACTCCAGTTCCTGTCTGTGGCTCTGCTGCTTTACATGAACATGCATTGGCAGGAAGAAGTTAAAAAGGACAGCTACATCCCAACTGATTGCAAGTGCTGTGATTGGCCACTCCTGTGAACTCTAAAACAGATAAAACTGGTACCAGGGATGCCATGGGTGAGATCCAATGTATTCTGAGGAGAGACAGGAATGTTAACATAGTCAGCCTTTTGCCCTTCCTTGGAACAGCAAGTTTATACATAACATTTATTGGTTTAGAAATTGCTTTAAAGATTATTTTAATTGCATCTCCACTTGGTTTACTGATGTGAACACATACACATATCAAATGTTATTTAATCTGTTTTTTCCTTCTTTTGTCATGCTGTGAGAGCTCTTTAAAAATTGCATTAGTTCCCTGGTCTCAATTAGGCTCTCTTGCAAAATCCAAAGCTCTTCTTCTCGCTAAGAACTGTTTGTCTTTATCTTCTCTTACTTCTGTTGCAGGTCATAATCTTTGCAAAGAAACAACAAAGAAAAAAAAAAAAAGGCAACAAACCAGTTCCATAACCATTGCGTGAGCCCACAACAATAAAACATAGCAAGAATCTCTTTTTGTTTCATGATGCTTCTGGTTCAAAAAGTGAAAAACAGCAGCCAAAGAAGAAATCACTAAAGCTGAGATAACAGGAAAAAAAAAATCAGAACAAAAATCTCTCTATTGCAGCAGAATCTATAGAGAAATTAAGAAATTAGGGCCACATGTTCTTCACAGAGGAAGCAAAGAGGAAGTAACAGCTCCATTTTCTGGTTTGCTACCAATGTGGTGGATGCTTCATTCATAAAAGTTATTGTATCATAGACTACTGCAAACCAGCACCAAATCGTTGATTCTTTGCAAACGCAACTTTCTAAGCATAGCTTTTGGCCTTGTGACATACTACAACTTTGTCTTAGTTGTATTGAATGGCTGGTTTAGCTTTCCAGGTACTATGTAATTTTTCAAACTCTTAGTATGCACGTGTGTTATAGGCTAACAGTATGTTCATTCATTCAATTAATAAAAAAATCCCAGTAGCCTTGATGGTCTAAGGATATAAAAGAATCAAGGACTGCAAGATCTTGAGAGACTACAGACCAGATAGTATATTGGAGAAAGACAGAGAAATCAGAGAAAGCTTTAAGATCAGAGAATTCTTGAAGGACCTCTGATGTATTTACAGAGTCTTCTTTTAATCTGTGGTGGGGTTTTTTTCACAGTAAATGGATTCTGAATTCAAAATCTTAGCTTCTTTCCAACTAAAATTGTTCATCAAATAAAAGATATTACCACTCCCTGCACAATGCCTACTTTGCTAATTTGCATTGCTTGCAGTACTGTTATACTGCAGTTGATCAATGCAATACAATTAGCTGTATCTGTCTTTAGTGACTTTTATGCAACAAAATAATGCATGTAACTACTTTTTGTTTCTCAAGCTTCCAACCATCTTGCATCAGATCTACAGACAGTAATTCTTCTTCCAAGTGTTTCAGTTGATCCTGAAAAACCTCAGAACATTTTTCAGCTTCCCTGCTCCTCTCCAGAGCTTCTTGGTACAATCCGGTCTGATTTTCCAAAGCTGCAGTCAATTTAGCTATTTGAGTTTCAAGCTGAGATACCACCTAAGGAGCAAGCAAACCAAGAAAACATATGGGGTTAGGTGGGTGTAGAAATGTTAGAAAGATATGAAAAATGCATCCTCAAATTATTAAAAAGAGGGTAAAATATGTACTTTTAAAATACGTACACTTAAAATGACAAAAAAAAAAAAAAAATCTGCTGTAAATACCAGGAGATAATGGCAGAAGTGGTAACATGTTGGACATCCAGAAGAGAACAGAAGAAACCATATTTGAGATGAGTCAACTGACTAAAAGGCGCTAATATCTATTAAAAAAATTACAAACTAATTTAGACACAAACTTTCCAAAGATGTTAGCAAATCATCAATATCTGGCAGTCAACTAACATTCCTTAAAATAAACCAGTAAAAATCACTCGTCTATCGAGGAGCTGAGTTAAAAAAACAGATAAGTGACTTAATACATGCAGCATATTGGTGAGAAATGTAGATACGGATAACTAAGTCTCAGAGGAGTGCTTCCCAACTGTTAAGTGTTAGAGGGTTAAGTTTAACTGAACGATCCTGCTTTAAAAAAAAAAAAATATTCTGTAATCTAGCCAAAGCCCAAGTCTAAAAGGTTAAAATCTTATAACAGGAAACTAGACTAACAATTATGAAAACAATTCTAGCCCTACACTGTTAACTTTGCCACACCTACATATAATGTAATGGATTTTAAGTCGTAAACTACTTATAAATTAAATGCTTGACAGCATCTGATTATACTGCTGCCAAATATTGAAAGACAATTCTATTCACTTGCTTGCTTCCCTCTTTTCCTCTCTCCTCATCTTACTGTCATATAATTATTTGGTTACATAATTATGTTGCATTTGTAACACAGTGTTCAGACACTCATCATTGAGCACTCTCTTCATTTTAAGCATCTGTTTGCCTCCTGTTAATAAAAAGAACAATAAGCACACAAAACTCACATTAATTTTAATGGCACAGAAAGGTTTCCAACTTAGACTGCAATTAAATACAAACAATAGTTTGCACCCAGCCTGCCTAAAAAACACTGAGAAATTACTGTTGCTTGTACAGTGGTAGAAAACAGTAAACAGTAATAAAACTGCAAGAACACACCACCCACCCACCCACC